AATTATGTTCCACTTTTATTTAGGTCTCCCTCGTATTATGCCGTCTCGTCCCTCAATATGATATTCATTCTACAACTGAGGCTTGACACAAAGTTATTGTAACTTACAGATTCAATATTCAAAAAAGGTAAAAGTTGTCTTCATTCAAAAGGATTCCACAATTTATCCAAACTTTACAACGTTACACCCCAATAATCAGAGTCCTTCTCATAGCACCGTAATATTGAACAAAATAAAACAAATCAAACTGTCTCTATGTGACTTGTTTAGTAAAATGTAGTTTATGAAAAGTAAATATTATTAAGTCTTTACCTCTTGCATTATTACTGTCAATCACTCACACCTCAGTGTGAAGTCAGTTTCTGGCCTTTCATGATGAAATCATTTGTAAAAAAAAAAAAAAAAAAAAGTGAATAAAGAAACAGTTTCTTGATAAAGACCCGAGCCTGAATTTCAAACAAAGTCAAACTTTTCCACAGATATTGCAACATGAGAAAAGTGTAAAATACTTAAGTGGACTTGTAAATGCACACGTGAGAACTTCTGCAGCAAGTCATAAAGGTGATATGGGCGCCAACTTTAAAAGTCAGCGCAAACATTTTAAAGAGGGTAATTAGTTAACAGTTGAAGTCGGTAATCGCCCGGTGATGAAGATGAAAGGACCCCAAGCAAAACAAAGTGGAAATGGGCTGGTACCATTCACATCGCAGTCGGATTCCAGGGGTCATGTGCTAAGTCCTGCTAAGAGCCTCAAAGGGCAAACCCTGAACATTGCCCACTTGTGTGTGAGTGTTTAGAAACACGGGCCCATTTTAAGCACACAAACATAAAAAATATCAATTTCACATTTGGTTTAACGCTTTCACACTTTGTGTCACTGACACCCGGAGAGGAGTGCTGTGGAAGACAAAACACAGCTCCTGGATAAGGATCATGTTAATGCCTATCAATTAGGATCAAAAAGGGATTAACCGGCATGGTTGCAGCGGTAGGACGGCGGCCCATGCAAAGTCACTGAATACCAGGGGTCACACCCCCGACTTCATTAGGCCTGACCTTTCCAAGCCATTGTGTGGCAGGAAAAAAAAGAGCCTGCAGTCTGCGTCCCCCCCCCCTTTACCCACCTGAGATGGCTTATAGGGAGTCAAATATGAGACATGCAGAAAAGCTGGTAGAGATCAGCGAAATATGAAATATTCACTTTCAAATGTCCGGAGAGACTTATTAGGTTACTGCAACTTGGAGCAGGTGGGTATTTACTTATCAACCCCCAACCGCCCGGCAAAGGAAATCACTCCTTTTTTCTTTTTTTTTGAGTGAGGTTTTCTAATTAGTGACGGCGCAGCCTCCCCTCGCTACCACGTACCTCGGGGTGGACGAACCCAAACTCCGCTCTGCCGTCTTAATTCACCTAAAAAGGTCAAACGGCAGAGAGGAAGGTGTGTCCAGGTGTGTTCAAATAAGCTCCAATTAGGGAAAAATGCAAGCACGCCCTCAAGTCTCACATATCCAACTTGGAGGGAAGCCCTCAGAAAAGCTTCTGGACTTGGGACGTTTTAATACTGTGGCGTGTTAAGAGTAGTTCAAGAAATACATTATTTACCAGCACAAGAACATTATTCCAAAATAATATTCAAGCAAAACGATGGGTCACATGAATAGTTTCTACAAAGCGCACAACTGTTGTTTTAGGTAGCGCTTGCTTCTCAACAGGGTTGTTGCATCATTGCAGGGAGACGCAATGGAGGGAACTTTACAGTTTTACTGAATGTTTCTCAGAGTACCGGATGACAGAGTGACTCAATGTTTGTACCGTTTCCGGTCAGAAAAATTCTGTTGTTCTACAACTGCACCCAACTGATTTTACGATTAATCGCGTAGAAAGTAAAAAACTAACTAAAACTAATTTGGGCAAATGTATTATGATCAAAAGAATTTCTGCACCGGTGCATTTGTTTTGTACGTTCGGAAATATCAGGGGCAGCAGGCTGGTGACGCCGTACATGCAACCATACGTTTAAACTGCAATCAAACCACAACCATGACGCATCAAGCACGCGTCACAAGCTTTCGGTTTATGCAGCCGTGATGGGAAGACGGCAGACTACGCTTGCTCATCTGCAAGACCTCCAACCACCAAAAAAGTTCTCCGGCCAAAAGCTTCTTCCCTGAGTGTTGAGCGCCTGTTCAGGCTGCTGTTGAGTGTAAGCAAGCATGGCGCCTTGCACCCCAGTCAAACAGCGGTCACTCAGGCCTACAGCCGCCTTTGTAGGGTCCTAAAGACGAGCACACTCCATTTCAAAAGTCAGCGGTGGACTGGCAGTCAAATTAACGGGAAGCGTTGGCCGCTGAGCGGGGACGGGCTGGGCGAGGCAAGCGCACGGCGGCTATTTACTTACCTTTCAGAAAGCTCAAAAATAAGTGTTTTAACAAATTGACACGGACGCGACGGCCACTGAGCCATTTCCTCCTTCTAATGAGGGTCTGGTGCTCACGCGACGTTGATATTGATGTCGTGGCTGTAACTGAAATTCAAAACCTGCTCAGTGGGTGAACGCTGTGTTGTTGTGGTCGTTTTAATGATAAACAAAAAGGTCTGCTATCGCCGGGCAAAGATCTTCCCGTTGGCTGGAGATCAATCGCATACTTTAATGTTAGGGCATCGTGAATACGGCATAAAATACACACTAAACTGCGAAAAATATTCAATCTAGGCAAGAACCGAACTGTGTTGCATACTAGCAAAAGCGTGTGTGTCCACACAGGTATAACTATTTAATACAATAGGGATATTAAACCGTCCGACAACAGATTAAATGGTTTACTTTGAGTGTGCATGCTGCCTTCCTGCAATACGGGGAAGTAAACTTGTTTTGAACCATCTACAAAAAAAAGGACAACAGGTTTAAGAGTGCAAATTGATAAGTACAAAAGAGGCAACGTCCTCCACATTAAGCTTATAGGTTGTGGAATAGCGACTCGTCTCCGACACATGCGTGAACCCAAAGTGTCTTTTCTCTGTCTGTCTTCATGGCCACAGAGCAAAGCCCAGCTTAATATGTTACTGACAGCTACTAGTTGTTACGCGGCATCCGAACACCGTGTGGCTTTCACACGAGGTCTTAGCAGTGAAACAGAGTGTTCGAGAGGGCAAAGGTCACCTAAACCTTTCAGTAGTTTGCATCAAAAACATACTGTACTTTTAAATCCGCACATTGCTAAAATGTATTTTAAACATTTCACACTTCATCAAACAAATGAAGTAGCGTTGAGTTGCTTTTCGTTCTTTTTTTTATTCCTAGTAATGTATATATGGAGTGAAATATTTTTCTACATTTAATGTAGGTTTGTATGAAGTTAGCTTAATATAATAGAAATGGAATTACAAAACACATGCATTGTGTTATCGCAAAGATCAGGCAAGAAAAAAACAACATTTTATGTTGTTGTTTATCGCTTTGTGAAGAATCAGAAGACGGGCGACTCGCTTAAATCAAACACCATTTTATTTAAATTGCTCAAATTCTTTTTAATGGCAATTTTCTAAAAACTGCAAAATACAAATTTTAGCTGCGGTTAATATTCATCGTGGTAAAATTACAACTCACAAGATCAAATCGAACTTATCGAAACATTATCTTTTTATTGCATTTGAAAATATTTTTTCAATTCATCGCGTCTCTTATTCATTGCCTTATGTTTTAAATTAAACTTGGATGAATTTTGCAAAGGAATTATAAATAAAAAGCAGGAACTGCATCGCACACAACATTTTAAAAGCAAAAGATTTTGCGTTATGCAGTTTATATTATCTTGCAGTGGTGCATATTTCTGAGACTTTAAATTAATTACCGTATCGACGTTTTGTTTATGTTTTTAACCAAGTCCATATTCAGTTGTATTGAATGTTCCCTCTAAATGAAATGAAAATGAAAAGAGGAACATTTTATGTTGAAATCAAAATACTCATCCAAAATAAAATCTGAATCGCGCTGCCGTTGATAAAAAGAAAACATTTAAGTCACAAAAAACGCAACTCAACGCCAGCATTTCTCACACGCTCGCTCGGTATTCTTTTAAAATCTGTTCCACCCAAATGTCTCCGCGCCGTTTCCCAACCAGAATAACGCTGCGAGCTCAGACTTCCTTCTTTCCCCACCAGCTACACCATGGTTCATCTCTCCTGCAGCTGCCTCAACCTAAAATGGACGCCGCTGGCTTCGAGCTAGCAGCGGCTAGCAGCGGCTACGGGGTCACAGCTGTGCAGTTGTGCTCTTTAGGAGGGAAGGGGCAAACGGATCCACGTGTTGGCAGGCTGCCAGCAGTCGCCTTGAAAACCCAGCGAAGGCCTCGGTATGAAACATGGCGGACCGACGTGGAGGGGTCGGCCGCGTCATTGCGCCGCCGAGGCCGCGGAGGCAAACAACCCGCCGCTTCGCAGCAGACAACAGGCAGCTGCTTTTTGGAACGAGCTCAGATTTTCCACGTGCACAGAAATAACCAGAGAAGTCTTTTCATTATAGCTCAGGTGGCAACGGAGCCCGGATGAAAGCCTGTTTTTCTCCAGACATCACCGTGACGCGAGACCTCGTGACCGCGCGGTGGGAGGAGGCGGCGAGCCAATGGGAACGCCGGGTGAGGACTCAGAGGCCGTCGGGCGTTGTTTTTTTTTTTTTTTTGCTTTTTTTCCAGCTAAGCCTCGAGTGAAAGTTACGAGATCCATATCCATGATTATGTTATGAAGAGATCAGAAATCAGCGTTAATAAAATACGATCGCCGCCGACTGGTGAATGACAGCACTGGATTTGATTAACCATTTCTCATCATCGCATCATGGAGGCTTGGCTTTGCGAGCCGGCGCTCAACCTTCTTTGAATACTGGTCTGTGCGGCCAACCGATATTTCCCTCAGGCGATCCCATTCACTCACTGCAGCACCTTAAAGCATTCCTGGAATAGCCCAAAAAGTGCTTTGATGAACAGGTCAACTCAGATCTTACCATTTGGGCGGAAACACGGCGGCGTTGAAGACGTGAAGGCGTGACAGGCTGCAGGAAAACACGGAATCTCCTGTGGAAACAAGAAAAAAAACAATGTCAAGCAACTGTGCGGCTTAGACACACGTTACGGACAGGAAAGATAAAATGAATAAAAAGACGAACATTGAATTAAAAAGCTTTATCATTTTTGTTTTGTGGATCAGGCTTGTAACTCATTCAAGCTAAAATTGCAGTAAGAAAGTTTCAAGTACAATGTTGCAAGAATGAATGAAGCGATTTGAAAAAGAACTGAGAATCATTCACTTGCAGTAAAAAAATTTAAAAAAATAAAAAGTTTGAGTCGAGTTGATACATTTACCTTAAATTAGATTTCTAATAAAGACAATATAAAATGATGAAGGAACTGATTTGTTTAAACTTTATTTAATAACCGATGCGACCTGCAACGTGAAATCAACTCTATGCACGGTTGCAAAACAACAGCATGAACGACCACATGAAGGTTTCTATCGTCTTGAGACTTTCTCACCTCGCTCAGAGGAATCCCAATCACTCTACATCACTCAGGCCTGGGACCGGCCTGCAAAGACAGTGCATGCTTCAGCTGTACTCTTCCCTGAAAACAAAATCAACAAGCATTCTGAAACCATTAAAGGAATACGACAAGACGAGCCCGAAGGAGGTGTTCGACAGCGGACGGGAATGCACTAAGTAGACGTTAATGAAGAGATCCGTCCGGGCTGGTCACTGATATGGCAAACAGATAAACATCAAAGAGTCAGTGAGGGAAAGTAACTCGTAATGTCACGGTGAGGCCAGGAGCACTTTCACAAGCCAAAGTTAATACGGTCCGTAACACTCCCTCGCCGAGTAAGTGGGCCGTGAGCTTAAAGTGTTTTTAAAACACTTCACTACGTGTCTTACTGAAGCTGCAAACGTGTGTATAAAAAGGTGAAGTGGTTTGCGGTCTTTAAAAATGAACCTTCCGTGAGCATAAGATGCATATTCGCATTTTGCACACAGTTTTTCACGATAATAATTATCTTTAAGATACGTTTCACAGGCTTTAATTATGGCATAAAGGAATAAAGCCAGAGGTGATAATAACGACAATAATGGAACATATTATTACAATAAACTTTCCTTTCTAACTTCAGAAAAATACAATATAGATTCAGTGACTGCCAATAACTAGTGAAATAAAAAAGAGAATATGATATACTAAATATGCACATATATTAGTTACTAATTTCATTATCACCCATATGTATTGCACATTGTATTACATGGTACTTGTGTTTAGGCTGTCGCCTCCAAAGTCACATAAATAAATGCTGTAATTATGCGCAATAGATTTTTTTATTTATCGTTATAATCTTAGAGATATGCGCTCCAGGTGTAAGAATAAGGCACAGAATACAACTGTTAAAAACAGAAGCCAGGGCGACCTTGAGGGTTGCTCAACACATTCTGAGAGACGCGCCGAGAATGATGAATCAGACAAAATGGCTACCAAGGTTCCCAATAACAGACAGGACACGCGGTGGTAGAGAAACAAGGCAGAAATAAACCTCCATCAAGTCAGGAATCACATAATAACATTTACAGTCACTGGGGAGGCGTTGAGAAAGGATGGAAACCGTTGCTCCCATAATCATCCAACCGAGTAAACACAAAAAAATACATCTAGGTCACAAAAACCTTCAAATCCGTCGACATTAAATGACCCGTCATGTGCTTAGTGAATCGGCTCTTTCACTAAAGTAGAAGGTTTCCCCCGTGTTATTTGGTTTCGCTTACATTGATTCATATACGTCATGGAGAGCGACAACGCCACAGTAGCCATCTTAACCCAAAAAGCGCGAGACACTGGGGGGAGGGCCCTCCGAGTCATATGACCGCTAAGGCTGCTGAGAACTGCAGTGACGGAGCAAAAGCGTCTAGACAGGTGTGAGACAGCAGCAGATCAAGCACACACATTTACTCTTCCACGAGTATCTTCGCCCCCCTTTTCATTTCTGCACAATGAAATACGAAAGCAGGAGGATCAGGGTGGGAAAATGTCCAACTACTGTCCTCACGAGTGGGGACAAGCATCGTTTTAACTGCATACTGGTTAACATGCCAGGCTCAAGCACAAAGACTACACAAAATCAATGCACAAAAAGTGCAGAATTTTCTATTTAAAGCGAAAACGCAGTCAGGGTTAAAATAAATATTTCTGTACTTTAGTATGAAACACTGCAGACAAAGTTAGTCCATAAAAAGTGTGTTTCATTGTATCGTAAAGCTGCTTGTGGGAAGTTCATCATCATGCTGAAAGTAATAATAAACCCCAATGGTCTAATAATCTATGCAATAATCAAGCAACACCAGTTTAACCTTTCAAACCCCGTCTGAACCCACAGTATGCACAGAAACCGACCTTTCTGACCCGAGCAGGCTGCCTTCTGGGTGATGCACTCCTCCTGAACTCCACACTGCTGATCTCCTGCAGAGCATAAACAAGAGCCAGAAAAGAGGGAAACATTTCATCAAGGGATCCATATTTCCTCAGTTTAGACTCATTAAGGTGCTGTAGTTTGAAGTGTTTAAAAATAATAATAATAATAATAATAAATATATATATATATATATATTATATATATATATATATATTTTTTTAAAGAGTACACAGGAGACAGGTGCGTCCCGCCCCTCCCCTTCCTCCCTCCTCCCCCTCAGGTGCCGGTTGAGTAACAGGTAGCGTGGCGCACGTGGGGTTAATCAACAACCTCACGTCAGCAAAGGTGCGTCACCTGCGCATCCTCGTGGCCCGGTGCGAATGAGGTCAAGTCTTCCAAAACAACACAAAAAAAAGCTCAAGAATCAAGAAAAAAAAGGGACGTCACGCGCTTTGTTGTGAACCCGAAGTCTGTAACGTTAGATAATCTGGGAGAAGTGTCATTTATATTTTAAGCTAGCAGACCGGATTTTCCAACTAAAACCCCACAGAAAACGTTCGCGGATAAACAGGGAGGTTTGACGCTGCAGCACCGAGTGCTCCTCGGGCAACTTGCGCTGCTTGACCTACCTGTGCGTGGAGAGCTGTCTGCTGACAGGCTGCAGAAGAATAAACTTTCACAGCCTTTATCTGTAAAATATCTTTTGGGGCTCAGCCTGGCGGCTCGTGGACGGAGGCGTAATATGAGGAGGCGAACGCATAAAATACATCCCATTTTCCAGCAAGGCGGGTTCCTCGTGAATTTGCAAACGGATGTTAAAAACTCCATCTCCAATTTGATCAAATTCAGACAGACTCCAGACAGTCTCCCAGCGGGTACGTGCCTGGTCGCCTCGCGCGTGCACGCGCCGAGTGGCGCGGGAAGCGGCGAGAACGGATCCTGGAGCGACGGCGCGGCAGGCCAATGGCGAAGAGGAGTCGAATCCGGTAGCCAATCCCGGTGGCTGATGCATATAAGCCCCGCCCCTTTCCTCCTCCTCGCCAGTCTGTTGACACTGCACTGAATAAAACAACAGTTAAGCAGTTCATTGCATTGAGATGTGGGTCACTGACTGCGGCCTGTATAACCGTTGCAGGTGCATGGTTTCATTCATTCAAGCGGTATTATTACCCTGGATTTGTACATCAATCATATAATTAATTGTTAATCCCATAGTTTTAATGCATTTAACAATACTCATAATCTTCCCTTCTAATCATAATCTGCATATTCTTATATATATATATATATATATATGCACCATTTTACATTGCATATCAAAGTATATGAATATGATCTCAGGTTGTAAAGTAACAACACATATTTTTATTGGGTTTCACTCACCCAGACCCACCAGTTAAAATTGTGTATTGATATATATGCAGCAGCCATTGTGTCTGCATATGACAAACGACCACACGTGGCTGTGTGGAATTAAAACAATGGTCCTGCCATTTATGTAGGCCAGATAATGGAAAGGTAGACAGACGGATGGATGGTAGATAAAGAAGAGGTTGATTGCTCAATAGACACATTGATAGATAGAAGATACATAGTTTGGAAAATATGGGATTCCAACCCTGGTCCTCTATGCGTCATTGAAACAGACTAAACCGCGGCCAATATGAAATAATTAGTGTGTAAACCTGATCATTCAGGGGTATGGTCATTTTACACATTCTTTTAACCTCCTCTCATTAGAAAAACTGCCCCAACTTGATGATAATGAGGATGATGATGATGGTCAATAGACAATATACAATGAATCAAAAAAAATGAAGTGATTCAATCTTTCATTACAAAAGAATCTATTGCAGGACTACATGACCCACAGCTCAGCGCCACTTTCTCAGGACAGATGCTGACCCTCATGAATTGACAGCAAAAAGCTTATTGTTAAACACAAAACAACTTCCAAGTTGCCATTTGAATTAAATGTAAAGGCGTACAGACACGTTTGTTGTAAAGAACTTCTGTCCTACGGATGGAAAATAACAAGTCTTGTCTCCTTCGGCTTTGCACCCTTTAATTTGCTTTGTTATGGAAAACCGCTGGATTTGGATAGGGCACAGAATCATTGAGGTCACCATAATGGAGTGTGACAGCTCCTCTTTTCACAACTATTTGGAACTAAAATAAAAATTCCTGGGAAAGTGAATCCAGGGAGCATAGATATCTGATACAGTTTTGGAAACAGCTGTTCAGAGTAGATTTTTAATGGAGTTTGGAGTACATATTGATATGCAATGCACTTCCATCAACTCACGGAGAAAAACTCTTGTTTTAACTTGTACAGGATAAATATTGTCCTATTGCCTTGTATATGCACATGACTAAGAGGAACGATTGGGATCTGTGGATAAATCACATTTCTATTGCATTTTTACAAAAGGAAAAATATTTGCCACCTCAACATCTTTTCTGTACAATCCCCACAGCGCTTTAAAATTCACACACTGTCCTTCCCTAGGAAAAACCCCTTTACGCTTCCTCAAATTAAAAATCTCATGGCTGATCCCCTCCATCGCCCTGGCTTTCAGATATTGACCTTGTGGTGCTACAAAATAGCTTCTTCCTCACTGCGGGACCCCATAATGAGCCAATACAATGAGGCTACAGTTCACTGCTCACCTCTCTTTGGTGTCTCTCGGGGTCTTTGTTGACGTTTGTCAGCCCGGGAGGAATTTGGGGGTTGGAATTCTGCTGTAGTCTGGCTCTAGACTCCAACAACAACAGATGCAGCCTTAAGCACAAAAGCAGAAAAAAACTTAGTCAGCGATTTACATTTTTTAAAAGAGAAAAAAGAAATAAGCCCAGACAAGGATAGACATCTAAGGAAGGACTTGAATTGTGAAAGAAACTGCCAAATTGACTCAGGTCAATCGGTTGTGGTATCCTCCCAAAATGTACAAAACAGGTTCCCCCTACCGACCTCTATGTCTCTTCAGAGCTCAATTAACTAACTAAATAATTAATAATTAAATAAAGGACTAATGTACTGTAAAGTAAAATCATTACTTGAAAACAGTGTTGCTACATTGGGAAACTGTGGAGAACTGCAGGGTGTCTTCTGCCACTAAATGACAACACTGCCTTCGGGACAAACAGCGTGAAGCACAAGGCCATAACGAGTTGTGCGATTTTCACACCTAACGGAAGATTTTACTATGGTTACCTTGGTGATCTTGTTAGAGTCTTAGTCGTGATCTGATTTAACTTCATTCAGAAAAGTTGAATGATTCATCCTCTTTTACAAGTCAGTATGATTTATCTTCTGTTATTGAGTCGAAAGTTAATTATTCTCAGATATCAGTCTGTGTGGTTTTTAATGTTTGTAAGTGAATAATGTTACGTGTGAAGTTCTTTCATTTATCAGTTTACAATCATCTGTGCCTTTATATTCTCTGAATGCCAATAATGTGAAAGAGATTTGCTTTATTTCCCCCTTTATTTTACTCTAGCCTGATCCTTGTCAGAATTTGACAACAGTTACAACACCTAGAGAAACAAACGTCCGAGATGCTCCAGCAATGAAAAACCTTTAAACGAGGATCACCAACTGATCGTGTCTTAAAGAACAAGACGGGATTGTACTTTGTTCATTCCAAGACCAGTGTTACTCATCTCCGAAGGTGTTTTCCTGGTGTCCTTAAGATAAAAGAGTTATTCCCCTGGAAAAGGCTGACAATAATTAATGTGGTTGTATAAAGTTTAACAGCCACGTTAAGTACTCCAAATGGTTATAGTTTCAGTGTACAGTATAGGCAAACATATTAGAGGTGACATGGCCTCTGAAGCGACCTTTCACACCTGAGCAAACTTACTAACTTGGGGTTCCTCCTCCAGTTATGGGCCTTTAAATAGGACCATCCTGTAGTTCGTCCAAATTTCTATTGCGGTCTGCCTGTTGGCTGACATAAAATTAATGATATAACGGCAGCTAGTGTGCTACGCTACGCTGAACGTCTACATCCCAAAGCAGGTGTGTAGATTATGTAGATTTTGGAATCTGCAGTGATGAACATAGGGCTGTGGTGTTGTTTTCCTTGTGTATATGCTGAAATGTTTCTTGCTGTTGTTGCAAAAGAACAATTCATCCTTGCTTGAGTGCAAAGATAAATTTGACTGTTTTGTATAAAAACTTTCTAGCGCCAAGGCCGTTTGTTGTGGTTGTTATTCCTAGCAGTCACCTATCAAATGTCTGTGACATTGGCGCTAACCCATGCACTACGAACATCTGTACAAAAACAGACTGTTTGCATTCTGTGTGATGATTGAACCTTCTCTGCACGGATATTAAATACTCAAAAGACAACTTCTACTTTTCAATATTCTTTGTTATAGTATGTTATATCATGTTGATTGGCCCCTCCACACAAATCTACACAAAATCTGCGCAGAAATGGCATTGCAGCAACAATTTACAGTATTTCTAATCTATGAGCCCTGACCAACTCAGTCCTGCATGATGATCACCCCGATCTAATACTACAGAGCTGACTGAAGAACTATCCAGAGAACGAAGTGTGTTATTTATTAATGCATTGTATGTCTTTGCCTTTAAATGCTTTTTCTGTATGTCTAGAAATAACCAACACTTTTTACCCTCCGCTGTGCAGGAAACAATCAACACCCTAATTCAACAACACACGCATTTTCCACAACAAACACTTGTAACGGAATGCATGCAGTGATGGAGGGAAGATCTACGAAAGATCTCCTTGCAGCGAGTTCGTTTACCGGGGCCTGACGAGCGGCTCGACTCTGGCCAGCAAACCGATCGGGGATCTGGTGTTTCCCACCCACAATGCATCACCGCGCCAAACACGGTGCGGCCATGTTTGTGCTGTTCTGATCGTGGACGGATGCCTCTGCCGCATAGAATCTGTTACCTTGGCTCGTCTCGCGTCTTGTAACCGTCCAAACGGAGGGATACTTCTGATTAAATGCGCCCTCGAGTGTTGTAGTCGAGCTCTAAGCGGGACGCGCCTTGCACCATGTCAGCCAACGCGCAGAGTGAGTACTTGTCAACAATGCTATATTAGCAATGCAGCTAGGCTAGTGACCATGGCTAACGAAAGCGAATGTCAACAGGGTTTAAACACCCGTGGGTTGGCGGTAGGTCCCATACTGTACCACCAACATGTATTAGGTCTATAGCGTTAGTTGAAGTAGCGTTAATTTGAACGTTATTTTGGTAACGTGACGTTATATTGCCATACCTTAAAGCGAACGATACGTTTGTCATATGGGGAAGCTAACGCTAGCATCAATTTGTTGGCCAATACTTCACATTAGCTTGACGTAAAGCTTGTCAATATCTGAGTTTAACTTTACGTTTTTTCATCGAGTCATATTACTGGAGTTAAGAAGATTGAATTACACCCAAGTCACAGGGTAACGTTGTTTTTTATTTTGTGTCCGGTTTTCTCATAAAAACAGTTGCGTTTGCTAGTTTAGCAATTTAGCTAACAGCAGGCTAGTACTAAACGCTGGTAGAACACACGCTTCATACTTGAATGATTGATTGGGAGTAGTTTGGGCGTTCGCCTGGTCATGATACGGTTACTCTTGACGTGTCACATTGGATGAAAATCATTTTTTATCAGAGGGGTTATGTACCCATAACCTCAGACGTTTCGGGTTCAAATACAAGCTAACATTGGTCGCTGCAGCATTATTGGGGGGTGGGGGGGTGAGAGGATCCGTCTATGACGCAGTTTATCCTGCGGTTTGATTCCACTTGTCGTTTTTGATTAGCATCCGGCTGCAGGAGCTATCAGAAGATATATAATATGTCGGTTTGCGCTACGACCTAACGTAAATTAGGTGACGTGGGGGGTTGGAAAACATGCACCAGGCCGCTGAACGCTGTTGCAGGTGGATGCATCGCCCAGCAGTTTTTGTAATGGGATCGCTCCGTCTGCTTGTTACGTCTGAGTGGGAATTGCGTAACCCAAGTGCGTTTGAATACGTTTAGTTAAGTTTGAACTGCTAATGTTATTTACCACTAGACTATGCTATTGTGGCCAAAATATATGAGTACTTAATAATACAATGCGCATCATTTTCTGACTGTAATATGCAACACAGCTGATATTTTAACATTTTTCCGGAACAAACCAAGCATATTTTTGCAGGAGGGATTTTTATAATTAAATTGGGCGTTTAACCGTGCTATCGGATAAACAGTGAAGATAAGTATTAGACATTTTAAAAAGTCAATATCTGATTCAACCAAAATACCTGGCTATTTCAGATGCACACGAGCCCGCAACCTCCAGTGGTGAGGAATGAAGCCAAATACATAAGTGTTAAAAGCCGCAGTTCTTCCAATGTCTCCATGAGGCTGACTCCAAAAGAGAGTTAATCTAATGTTAAGGTCTTCATTGCAGAAATGAACAGCCTGGAACAAAACATGTTCTTAAACACTTAAGTTTAGTTTAATTGAGGGTGTGGTGGCTTTGAGTGACAGATTTTGTGCCAGCATGACTCCATTATTACCCATGATCCACCTCTTTTCCCATTTTTGGAGTTGGGCTACGCTGTCACTTCCAAGATGGTGACAGCTAATGCCTCACTTTGACCCCCCCCTCTCCCACGGCTCTTCATAAAACCTCTGGGTAACGTCACAGAGAATATGTCCACATTTGAACCATCCTTACCTCAATGCACGCATCATCGTGGCCCCTCTCTTGGAAACGGGGAACTGGGTACTTCCCGTTTCACTCAGTAACATTATGGATTCAGTGTGTTTGTGTTGAGTCACGTTTGCAGCTGGGCAGCTTAAGCTCAACTGACAAGAGGTAAACGTTGCGTTACTGTGATGGTAGTGGGTCGGGTTATAACGGAGTAGTTTCACTAGCTGAGTAAAAGTACAAGAGCATAGTACACTGAACGAGTGCATCCCTAAGTGCAAATGTTATTGTTCCATTTATTTATCCAATCCTTTCAATAATTTGTTCACCCCAAGTTTATGGGACACATGGGGTGAACTTCTGGCGAACTCTGGAGTGTGGCAGGTGCTGTGATAGTATTCTTATTAGCAATTAGGTCGATGACTTTATAGTCTTACTTGTTCCGCAACATTACAAACACTTAAAAACCTATACAACTAAATTCTAACACCAGAAACATTTGTTTCATGTACGTACAATTAAAAAAAATCCCTTTCTATATGGATTTGGAATCATGCGATGGATAAGTCTACCATTCTCTACTGTATGTCATGCTGTTGGTATACATGGCATTTGTTTACTCGCTGCCCAAGTTGATTCAGCTTGGCAAAGTAGGCAAGTTAATTTGAATCAACAACTCTGCTGATAGTCTCTGTCCATTTCGTTTTGTGCTTTCGTTTTGTCCTCTGGTAGGACATACTAATATTAACCTGCAAGGACGGTAATATTATTAGAGTCCATTGCTCTGTAAACAAACCGCTTCTCTTTTGCAGATTTTGGCTTTGAAGAATATGACAAACCCGGTGCTGAGCGCTCACGCAGGAGGAGAGGGGAAGATGACGATCTAGAGAGGTGAATCATCTCATGTTCCAATTTCTCTACACAACCAGTGCTGTAATGTCAATTAAGGAATTCTTTTACATCACAAATGAATATACATTTTCAAAGACCTGTTTTTAAAAGAAAATTCAATTGTATTTTCAACTCAACAATTATAATTGCCCTGTTACAGAATACCATTATTTGTAAATATATTACGCTCTGCACTATCATCTACCTGTTCTTTAATGATGTTTCTCTTTCAACAGTGATTTGGAAGAGGATTTGTTGGAGGCAGATTGGCTTACAGTTAAAAAGGTAAGAAAATTGCAAACTCTCACTGTTTTGTGTACTTTCATTTAATGCTGGTTGCCAATAAAACACTTGGCTTCTCAGTAGGGTTTCTCTCTTACAAGCAGGAAACGGAAAATAACATCAAATACATTGGCTGTCGGTGCCGGTAGAACATTTCGAAACTAGTAGTGTGTAACAGTAACAGTTGACTTGGAGCAGGTGGCTCCTCCACAGGGGAAGGTGTTGATGTGAACCAGGAGGAAGTACGGTGGACAAAAAAGAACTGTGTTGACCTGCCCAGATTGCAATCACCACATGGGAATAGAGCATCCTCTGGGGTTGGAGGTGGTCCCCTGCCCCCACGCCTCACACATGAACAAACACACATGACTACCGTTGTAACGTACGCCGTAATGTTCCTTTATGTTTATCTCAGAATCCTTCAGAAGTGTCGGATGAGGAGCTGAATGATGACCTTCTACAAAGTGATGAGGAAGATGTAAATATGAGGTACGCTAATGACAAAAGTCTCATGTGTTGATGCTTTTTTTGTTATTGGTAATAAAGCTGACAAATACAAGAACCACAATGTGCACATTTCACCTTAATTCTTTATTGCTGTTTGCTGTAAAGTACCAATATTTGTTTGTTTGCAGTGGTCAGGATATTAGCCTCAATGCCACATACCACTTGGGCGCAGCCTTTGGCCAGCAGGACAACTTGCAGGAAGCAGAATACACAGATGACGCTGTGAACCTGGGTGCAGAGGGCTGTGAAGAGGGGGATGTAGAGGCGGAGGGGTACCAGCATGTGGGGGAAGAAGAGTACACACACGAATACAGCCATGGCGACAACACCGAGATGCCCGACGACCAAATGGATTACACCGGAGAGCCGGCTGAGGGGGACGAGGGCTACCAGGATGAAGTGTTAGACATCCAAATCAATGAGACCTTGGATGGTGAATTTCAAGTGAGTTCTCACATTTGCTTACTTAGGTGTATGTGCGCGCACAAACAAACGCAGGCACACACACTCATTCACATACCATGCCCTCGTGTGTCTGTCCCACTCTTTTGTTCCCAAGAGATGATATCAGTTTTCTTGTCTCGGTAAAGGGGGGACAGTCAGGATTGAAAATCTATTCAGGAGAAGGAGATGTTGGCTGGCGTTTTTGGGCAGGAGAGGATTAGATTCATTATCCCTTCCTGCCAGTTAATTTCTCCATCTTGCTGACAAAGTTTGTGTTGACAGCTTGTTTGGCATGAGGTAATGCGCTGCTGTCGCCTCCAAATCCGCGTGCCATTGTGACCTTGGGCCTGGTATCTTTGAGGGAGTAAGAAGCTGCTTTGTGTTGGAGATGTGCTGCCAATCGGCGGAGGTTAATGTGGAGGGCTTTTATCTCCGCCTTTAGACTGGATCTGATAAAGTCTCATGCAGGTGAAAAGATTATTGACCTTCCCGAGGACACCCCATACGGTTTTCTAATGATTGATGCGATTTTCCCTTTCATTCGTTTCCCTTCCCTCTTAGCCAGAACTAAGAGGATCAAAGATAAGACCAGATCCATGTGCAAATGTCTCTTATGGTCCATTTACCGAGGTGTGATGGTGTTTGGCACCTGACAGAGATACAGCGGCCTACTTCCTTTTTTATAACAAAGATAAGATATTGACCTTCTTTCTGACGGTGTGCGGGACAAGTGGATGCTTTTTTTTTGGGGGGGGGGGGATTTGGTGAAATATCTGCAGGTGTAAATTCGTGTTGTGCGTAATATCTGTTTACAAGGTCACTAAACGGCGCAGCCTTGACATTTTGCTCGCCGTGGTATTCAGTTCGAACTGTGTGGAACAGTTTAAAGGATTAAACGCTTGTGTTCCCTTGAGGCATCCCGTCCATTTGTCTGGTGCGCTGAGGGTGTTTTTTTTTTTTTTCTTTCTTTTTTGCATTATTATGTGCTGCTGTTTGGCAGGTTAATGGAGCGCAACACCAAACACCAAGTGTGACCTACAGTCTGACCTCATTTACCTATTTGTTAAAGGGGTGTTCTGCAGATATCATCTTTGAATTACTAGCAACTCCCATACCAGTATGTCTGATAAGTATGATGTTAATTTGCAGGAATGACTGTGTATTCATGATTATATGAAATGATTTTATCATAAGGTGGACTAAAATGTACTCATGGAAGAGTAAAGAAATGATTTGCCATCTCCCAGAATGTTTGTCTGTTGGATGTTTTCTGCATCGATTCCTGACGTTATTGTGCGGCCGATAACAGCGATTTGCAAGGAGTCAGTCAATGATATTTTCACCATCATTGAACTGGGAAGGAGTGCTTTTATCCGTGCCTGCATTTCTGTATATCATGTCAAACATTTACATCTCATTGAATTTCAAATGCTGCCAGGAATAGTAATGAAGCCCTGCTCCCACTGTTATGGTAATTTGGGCTGGGAGGGGGTTTACATGGTGTCTCCCCAAAATCCTCTCCATAACATTTGGTCTGCCTTGATGCTATATAGGATTTTGTTGGGTTTCTTTGGGAAATGGTAAAATATGTATCTGCAGTCACAAGTATGTTATTGTTAAGCAGTTATTTTAGTAGTTAAAATTAAATTATACATTTATGTCATTGTTTCATTAAAAAGCTGTCAGTTGAACTACAACTCAATGAAGATGTCCATTATGCATGAATGGTCGACCTCTCTCTATATAATATATATATATATATATATAATTACACATTACTGAGCCTTATTGAAGCGTTGTTGCTACTTTACCTAATCAATACGTATTATCTTTGTTGTCTTTTAAAGGATGATGAATATCAAACCTATGATGAGCGTCTGGGTGAACGTGGAGTCCAACGGGAGGGGATCCCAGAGGAGCGGGTGGAGGGAGGTGGAGCAGAGCAGCAGCAGCAGCATGAAGAGGAGGAGGAGGAAGAGGAGGAAGACGCAGCCGAAAGCTCTCGGGTCTTTGACACAGAGGAGGTATGCTGCCACCCTCCAGATAACCACTTCAACCTTTTTTATTGCTATTAATCTTTTTATTAAAGCCCAGCAAAATGCGGTGCAGAAATTTAACCGGTTAATTTCTTTTCATCATAGAATAAGAATATAATGGTCTTTTAGTGTTATTGTTCATTTCAGGCGGTGCAGTTTTGCGCATGCAGTGAATTTAATCTAGTTTCAAAGACTGATAATAATCTGTGCTGATTGTTCACAATTATATTAATGAAATCATATTAAAAGAAATGCCATCAATGATTAAACTGCTGTCTCAATGTTGTCAATCGCTTAGTTTACACAAAGTCAGTGACCATTTCCTTCAAAGATATGGTTTTGTCTTACTCAGTCCCAAAATATAAGGATATTTAAATTTGATAGTAAGCAAAGAAAGACTGCGTTTTAAGAGCTTGAACCAGATAATCTTTAGTTGAAAAAGGTACTGCAACTATTTTTAAATCTCAAAATTGGGGCATATTTCAATTCTTTTGATCATCTAATTTCTAATTAGCTAATTGTTTTTCACTTCAGAGCAGATTTTGTGATGCACTAAAACTAAATAACCGTACGTTATTTTATTAACACAACGGCATGTTGCTCTCTGTTGCGCACGGCGGGTTTCGTAAATTGTGTCGGCGTCCCTCCATCTTCCAAAACTGACTTTAGTTTTTGTTAACCTCTGAAAAAAATCCCCAGGTCGAAAATGAAGCCATGCTTGAAGATGAAACAAAGGAGGAATCGGATGAGGAGGACGAGGAAGATGAAGGGTCTGGTCGCATACGGTTTAAATCTGAGAGAAAGGACGGCGCTGTTGTGCGGTTGGCCGATGCAGGCAGCAACAGGAGGAGTATCCCTGAAACGTTAGGTACAAACGATCTCTACTGGGCGTCATGTGTTCTCTGTGCAGTAACAACCAAAGTTATGCTAAATCTTTGCTTCACACAGACCTCTGTATTTATCGCAAGTCCTTTTTTTGTCCCCCTTCCGCTGTCCATCAGAACTGTCAGAGAAGGCGAAGCAGGACTTGATGCAGTTTGAGGAACAAGAACGGCAGAAGAGACAAAACCGGTACGGAGGCCGAGGCATGCGGGGAGGCATGCGGGGAGGCCGAGGAAGAGGAGGCTTCCCACCTTTTGGAATGGTCGACTTTAGAGGAGGAAACCGAGGAAGAATGATTGACCACAGGCTGATGGGAAACATGGGCATGCAGGTAAGGCATTGTGCACTCACCTGCCTAAACCCTCTTAAAGGGACAGTCGTCCCACCAAAGTCCAGACGGCCTGCTCTCCAGTATCTATGTTGATATATAGATCATTCATTAAGACGCTATTATACAAAATTACATTTGTTCTTGCCCAGGATTTGGTTTCTCAAGACGTTTATTCCCTTGATTTACATGTTTCATAAGTTCATATGAGACCATCCGAAGGTCTAGGAAAAAAAGTCATGAGACAAACATGAAACTTAAATAAAAACGACCTCAGTAATCCAGCTGAAGGTTATCGTGATGTTTAAGATACCTAATTTCCATCTTTAATGTATTTTCTTTTTTTATCACTGAATTAAATTATGAATTCTACCAAGGCTACATTTTACACTGCAAAAAACGTAAAACTATAGTTCATAAATGATAAATGACCAATATAATACTGTGATAAAGGGTCGCTTCTCAAGGCTGCGGTACTTCACTCCAGCTTTATATTTGCTTATATTTTATTTAATGACAATCGGTTGTATAATTTAAAACAAAACCCTGGGAATGAATATTTAATGACAGATGGACAACATGCCAACTCCACACACATTCTGCTGACTGCTGTTAACAAGGTTGTGCTTTTTACACATTGACTTGACTAATTCGGTCCCTGACATGTTTTTTGGCATGTTTGTCTAGTAGCTCAACGATGGCTAATTGTCAAGAACCCTTGTGAAACTTCACTTGACGATACAGTTATTTCTCATTAATAAGTTGATGAGTCCTTAGTTGATATATTTTGAAGCTGGCAAACCGCTGACTTTTAGTTGTTTATCTCAGTGGATGTCCCTTTCTTACAGTGATCCCACTAAGGTTACTTTCACTCGAAGAAATTCTTAAGAACACATACTTTATCATTTGCAGAGAAGCTCAGGATTAAATTACTGCAGTATACCGTCTTCAATATTTCCTGTGAACTAACCTGTTGGCGTGTCACTGCGTGTCTGCGAGCACTGAGGTCGGAGTCTTCCCAGGAATAGATGTGTTTTGACGGGTTGTTTTGGGTTTCCCCTCCTCTTCCTTTCCCCACATCTTCCCAATTAGCAGCCGTCCCGAATGCCTCTTCCTCATCAGCAGCAACTGCACTCCCAGCAGCACCACCCTTCACGACCGAGAGGACCTCCTCCCTTCCAGGACCACGGGCGGCCGCTGGCCCAGCAGCCCCTTCAGCCCCTCATCCCCCCGCACCTGGCACACCGCTCCCCTCCGCTACGGCCCCAGATGGAGCCTCCGCCGCGAATGATGGGCTCCCCACCACCCAACTTCCCTCCCCAGCAGCAGCACCACCACCACCAGCAGCAGCCTCCTCCACAGTCCAAAAATATCCACATTAACCCCCATTTCAGAGGGCCCACGTCATCCTCTGTACAAGGTAGGTTCAGAAATGAACCTACTTTTTTGTTTGATTAAAACCCTTTTTGTTTATCGCAGGTGTTTGACGATGAAGTTAAACCGCCACTCCGGCTTGTTAGTTGTATCATGGTTGTGCTCACAAACACAGCCAGGCGCTGCGTGAAATGAATAGAGCCAAACCTACTCCCAAGTATAATGGTAGACCTAACGTACACCTACGCCATGAGAACAAATAAATACACAGCAGATATGCTAAGCATTCTACAGAAAAAAACATTTAAGATTCATAATCTAAATCCTCAGAGTGAAAGTCTTAATGTTCATCTCATCCAAGCGTTGGCAGCCCCGGTTCGTCTGCGCTGCGTGACGCTCCGTTGAGATGCGCTGCGGCTGGCAGTTCTCCTTCCAATGTCCTGAAAGGTGTCTGGATTAGAATGTCATTTAGTTGTTCGGTTGAATGACAAGTGAATAGCTCTCTCTCAGCCAGTAATGGGTTTATCCTCCATTTCTCCATCACCATTTCATTCCCTGAGATGGGTTTATCTGGCCTGTCTGTCCAGGCCAAGATTGAAATTTTGTTAGTAAAGCATGTTAGCGTCTGTGTGTGCGTGCGTGTTCACATGTGTGTGTGTGTGTCATCGCGTGCAAGTGAAAACGGGGTTTAGGTTTTAGCTCCTGTGAAGAAAGACATCAGCTATTGCCTGTGGTTATGATTAATTGTCTGTGTTTGTATATTTGTCTGTTACTTTATTCATCTTCGTGCAGTTACATGATTCATATTGCAGCATATCTGTAATATGAAAATCCACTTAAATGAATTTAGTGTGCAACTGACAATTATTTGAATTATCAATTAACTTGCTAATTATGTTCTCAATTAATCACGGTAGATGTACGGTCAATTATCATTTTCACTCAGTTTTTCTTCCTTTTTAAAATTTGGCCAGTGACCCGCATGTATTAGATGTTTCCTTGAGCTCCCTGGTCTGTGCTTGGCTGTGTGAAGATGTGAGGATCAATTGTGATATAAATTGTAACATGTATGTCAGTGTAACAGCCTTAAGCATGAAGATGTCTCTCCTCCCATTTCTTCTATCACCAACCCTCTTTGCCTACTGCCCTTCATTTTCCATTTTTTTTTCTTCCCCTCCTCCATTCACCCCCCCCAACCTCTCTCTCTCTCTCTCTCTCTCTCTCTCTCTCTCATTGCAGTGCCCTTGATGCCTCCTGCTCAGAGCCAGCCCAGACCTGCTGTGGGTCCTCAGAGGTTCCCTGTGAGTAGCAGCTGCTCCTCTCCCTCCCCTTTGCCTCCCTTTCCCCGCCTCTCCACGCGGCTAGCGTCCCCTTTTCTGTGGGGGCAATAACATTACGCCAATTAGACCGGCTGCCCCGGCCAAGTGCTGTTGAAGCGAATCGGTAAACACAGATACGAGTCTGACCGCGCAACTGGAAGTGCGTGATAGCGGCTCCAGGCGGTCGACTTCTCGAGGTCGAGGCTGCTGTGGCGGGACTTAAGTTAGCTACCCTTCATAGACGGGCCGGGGATCAGACTAGCGAGCCAGGCACATAATGGAATTGTGAAACCAGGACATACCACCAGTTAAAATTCACTTTGCGTGGGTTTGTGTCCCAGCGGCACGGAGACCTTTTTCGAACGGTATTTGAGTTAATGAAACATGCTGGTGGCTTGACGGGGCTTACGTGGGCCTCTCGCCTCGCTGCAACATTTATTCCGAAGGCTGAATTTCACGTCAGAGAAAAAGGGGTCTTAAGTCAGGGATTTCCTGTAAGAAAAGGTCCTTTATTTCACTCGCAAAGAACCCATCCAAGGGATGACGGAAATGCCTTTAAAGTAATTACTGTATTGAGGGAAGTGGCTCGATAGCAAGTCAGCCAAAGTGCCCTAAGTTACTGCGTCCTTGTAGTTAATGATGCCCAGGCATCAGGTGGTGCTGGTACTGACTGACATCCTCCCGGAAATTGCATTTTATATGGATTTATGCAAATTAGTCATTGGAAACTAGCTGCGTCCAATTGCATTCATTTTGGATTCACAACCCTGTTGCCAAAAAAACCATCCAGGCTTTCGCCGTCCTTGTCCAAAACCACTGTTTTTATTTACCTTTTTTTCCCCAACCTTCAACATAATTATCAGGGTGCTTCTTGTTCCCTGAAGTCTGTGACTGTCCTAGATATCGATAGCGCAGTCGTCGAGGTGGGGGGGGGGCAGTTTTCGCCTCTGATCAGACCGTAGAATGTGAGGTGGGAGACAACGGGGCCGATGGAAAGCATAGCGTTGGATTCCCCAGCTGTCAATCACGTTCAGGCCGCTGTTGCCAAGGACACAATTTGAAATGCAGGTGACATACCAGCCGGCAACATTCCATTTACCAGTGGGCACCTGATTACTCATGATTATCATACATTATCATCCCATCAAATTTAATTGTTAAAAGACAGGGCAAATGGGGGGGTCATAGCCTCTAGTATTACTGCATAAAATTCTTGCGGGTGTAGACGGGTTTTGAAATATTAATCCCAGCGCCAATTAAAGGTATTAGAATATTTAATCTGTTTAGATAATGACATTCATCTTAACCACCAAATGAAGATGCCACCGAGCTAATTTCTAGTAGTTAAAACGTATTTCCATCCATATTGAGATCCTTTGTTTCCTTTAACGCGGGTTGACAAAGAATTCTTTCTGGATGGTAAATGTGAGCAGTCACAGCCCCTTAAGTCTCTGAAGAATATGCTTCAAAGCCTACAGTTTCTAGTCACACAAGCTCTAAGAGACAAAACATCTCCTTAAACTCAAATGTGCATTCTTCAATACATTCACGGACCTTTGACCCCTTCTCCATTATATATGTCCTGGTTATTCCCTCGCTGTGAGCGCGATCCCGCCATCCGCTGCGCATCGAGCAGCCAGCGGCCTGTTTATCCAGGATTAAAAGCGAGAGGATGAGCGGTGTTTTTTGAGAGGTATTAAATGGACACCAGAGTCCTCATTGTGCAAACCTGCCTGCCTGACCTTTCACAACCGTATGATTGCCCCGCCCCCCCTCATTGTGAAGCCCCTGTCTTTATAAGCCCCTTTGATTAAGTTTCTGTTAAGCAAGTTTTTTGGAACTCTGGCCTTCTAGCTTTCTAACACCTCTCCTAAACACCGCCACGCGGCAGTGGAATAAAGATGGATTAAGCCCTGATAGCATCTTAAGTAATTTACAATAGGCTTGGAGGAGTCAAGCAGCCCATTTGTGGAAGTGCCACGTGTTGAATAGCAGGTTAATTTTTCAACAGAGATGGATGTTTAAAAGAATAAAGGAGACTGTTATGAGGGGGATTCGAATTCCAAGGAGGGATTAAAGGGTTGTTATCTAGTTTTCTTCGGGAGGCAGATGGGGAGTAACGTGCATGCAACGAGCAGAAAGCTTGTCCAACGCGCAAATCGGTTAAGACAAAGGTAAAGGTACTTATCCCTTCCTGAGATGTTCGCTTCTTGTTAGAGTCTGGCTTTTGAAAGGTTTATGAAGTCCGAAGTAGCATTAAGGTGGGTTTGCACTCAAATTCCGGCTGAAGGGTTTCTTTAATATTGACATACATATTGATGTTTACAATTCAAGATTCTGCATCTTGTTAACGACCGTAGCCCTTCAGTTAGGAGCGATCCCCGTTCGGTGCAATACTCCCCAACAAATTCCCCTTTTTCATTAGTTTAATATGATTGAGATTATTGAGTTCCCAGCCTGGCCTAAAATTCATTTTTTTTTTTGCCTCTTCGCAGGGACCGGGAGACTTCCAGCAGCACATGGCCCCAAATTTTGGTCAGCCCCAGCGGCCCCCTCATCACATGGAGCCCTTCAGGAGCCAGCCACCTCAAGGACCCCAAGAGAGAGAGCCGCTCTTTATGGGAGGTGAGTCCCACTCCCGCCTCGGACGAGGGTTCCAAAGCTCTCCTGGCATATTTAATCCGATTCGACATCACCTCTGGCGGTATACCTACAGGGTACGCTGCTTGCTTTCTGCCGCTTCCCAATGAGCGGCACTCATGTTAAATGCATGTGTGTATATATACATCTGAATGAGCTTTTGAAGCCCAGTTAAACACCTATATTTCAGATTGTATTCATTAACAGTGCAGCAGTGAAACAACCGTTTGTTGTTTACACTTTCACCTTGATAGAGTTGTCTGTTTTCATTTGCCTCGCCATAAGACCGCGCGTCTGGAGAGGGAGTTGCCGACGCATTGAGATCGGCTCGCGGTGCAAACAAAACTGACATCTCTGTTGTGTTGTTGCCCGGTCTTCTTTCTGTGGGAGCAGAACGCCCAGAGTCAACACGCTTTCCGGGGCAGCACATGTTTGATCACCAGAGCCCCGGCCCGCCGATGAATAGCAGCCACAACCTCCACCACCACCACCACCCCCACCCCCACCACCCCCCGCAGCAGCAGCAGCCGCCGCCGCAGCAGCAGCAGCTTCCTGGCCAGGGCCACATGGGTTTCGCCCAACCAGGACCGGGCTTCAACCAGCCCGGGCAGGGTCAGCTGGGACTCTTTTCGAGAGAACCCCCAAGACCCAACCTCCCTCCCCACCAAGGTCATCAGGGCATGGTGGGCTTGAATCAACAAGGTGGTCCCCCCAACCAGCCCAGGCCCTTCATGGGCCCCCGTCAGCCGTTTGGCCAGCAGGGGAACCTCTTCCCCCCTCCACAAGTCCAGTTTGGGATGCAGGTACGACTAAGAGTAAGTGATTTTTAAGCCAATAGCTGTCTGTCTTGTTGTGTTCGTCTGCTGTTATTTATATGTTAATGCTATCTGCATATTATGAGGTTTTCTTTGTAGCATCCTCTCTTACCTGGAGTAATTCCTGTAAAAAGATTTCACATGCTTTGTCTGCCACGAATGTATGAATTTTTGTCAGCGTTGCTCAAGATTATTAAAATTGATGTGGCAAGAGCAATGACTAGACAAGGGTAGTGTACACATGAATAAACTAGATATCGTATTCATTGTTACTGAAGCGTTAAGGAGAAATACTCTTGTCTGTTTGGAACCGTGGCCCTTCGTCAAGAGACATAGACAAGAGCGCCCTCTAGTGATTGAAGCACTATTGTTGCAAGACTGGGTAGATACTTGAGGATACTAGTTGGAGGTTAATCACTATATATGCAGGAATAGCCTGAAGCCGGAGGTATAACTATTCCTCTTTTAAAAGAAAAAGAAAAAAACTGGCTTACTGGTTTGTTTTTTATATTTCAGGGCTTAATGCACGGCCCTCCTGTCTCCCAGCTTCCGCATCACGACTCCTTGGCATCCCATCAGCCCATGCACCAGCAGCAGCAACATCACAGGCAGGAGTTGACCCATCATCAGCAGCAACATCTTAATGTCAACGAGTCTCGCCCCATGATGCACCATGGCCAGAATCCTTTCCATCAGCAGGCGCATGGCAGCCCGAGGCAGATGACTCCCCGCCTTCAGAACCCCCAACAACGCAACATGTCCAACAGGCTGAGGATGGTGAGCAATTAACATATCATCTATATTCAAACTGTTTATAGACAGGGGAATGGGGTCATTCTAATAGCTGTATACAGTCAGTGCATTTCATGGCAAAGGAAAAGTGGGTAAAACTAAATGCATTTTTTAAGACCAGATTGATTGTAAAGCCACAAGATGCTGATATTTCCTGATATTTCCCTTTTCTTCAGAACACGCCCATTTCCAAGCAAATGCAGCAGCGCAACAGCAACCTCCGGGAACTCCCCGTAGCACCCGGCAACGCAACCATGAACAGTGCCCGCCCCGCCGCCAACATTAGACCTGTTGCCAAGGCAACACAGGGGATGCGTCCCGGGCAGAACACTCAGCCGGTGCCTGACGGCGGCAGAGGAAGAGGCCAAGCTAACGCCAAGATGGAATCGCAGCTCGGAGGCGCGGGCAGGACGGTAGTTTGCAAGGAGATCCCGAGCTCGCTGTCCAGCCAAGCACCGCAGGTCAGCTAAGTAACAGAGCGGTGGAACCATGTGGTAGTGGCACAATAGATGATTGATTTCAGATTAACGTGTATCAAGGTTGTAATTAATATCCTTTTGAAATGTTACAATAATGCTGATAATTAGTTTCTTTCCCAGTGTACTAGAAATTATACCAGTGTTGTGAGAAGGACCCCCATTAATTATAAGCCTAATAATAAGGTTGTTAACGTTAGCAGTTTCATTTCTTTTTTTACCCTGGTTTTCTCTTTGATTTGAGTGTCAGCCCAAGTGGCATGGTTCACATAAGGCCCACTGGCCCACGCCTCCCCTTCAAGGAAGTAGAGGCCGGTTGTCATATTGTCAGTTTGTGTTTTTGTGTCACAGGACCCGAAGGAGGACGAGGAGACGCGGCAGTACCGTCTCAAGATCGAGGAGCAGAAGCGTCTGAGAGAAGAGATCCTTAAGCGGAAGGAGATGCGACGGCAGATGCAGGCCGGCGTCAGAAAGAAGGAACTGCTGGACAGGCGCAACACTCCCAGCCAGGGCCCGTCTCCTTCACACATTCAACCCTCGCAACCGCAGCAGCATCAAGTACCACTACAACAACCGCAGCAGCATCAACTACAACTACAACAGCAGCAGCATCAACTACAACAGCATCAACAGTTGCCTCTGAGGACACAGCAATCATTGACTCAATCATTAAAGAATCCCAATCAAGCCACCGCCATCCCTCCCAACGGCGGCCCTCAGATCTCCGCACCACGTCCCAATGTCAAGGCCCGCCTGCAGATGGTGAAAGGCGGCGGCCAGCAGCAACCACCCCCCGGGCCCGGTCCAGACCAGCAGTGGAAGCCGCCTCCACAAAATCAGCAGCAGCAGCAGCAGCAGCAGCAGCAGCAGCTGCAGCAGCGAAGGAACAGTGCCGTGCAGAACGTAATCAGGCCTGCCGCTCAGATCCAGTCCAATCAGGTCCCTCAGAAGATCATACCCGTGACTCCCTCCGCGGGACCTGGCCAGGCTCCGGCTCGGACTCCTGGACCGAAACCCGGGGCTAAGAGAACTGTGATGCAGCGGGCCAAGAGTTTCGAAGGCCAGCAGGTGCCACAAAAAGTCAGAGTGGTCAAACTCTCCGGAGCGGTGAGCAATGCCAGTTCCATTTTTCTCCAACGCCTTCGTTTGTGGTTCGCCGCGACATTTATTTGATCCTCCTGTGCCCATTTCAGCACACAGAGGAAACGACCGTTTCAAAATCAAATGCCACTGATTGCCCTCCCACTGTCTGTTTTGTAATCCAAACGATATCTAACCTATGGGTTTGACAGGGTGATGCCTCCGTCATTTTGGTAAAATTGATCCGTTAAGAGTTTCCTCTTAAGCTTTGGGAACTGGTATTTAAGACACACATTTTACCTTCAGAACACAGAACGGCTGACGGCATTAAAGAGAGGTGTATGACATTTAATCTGAAGAGTTGGGGACACCTCATCGCTGCTCTTAAAGGTTGATATCCTCTTTTTAAGGGCAGAGGAGTATTTCAAAGATGGAGCCCTTGGAGACGGTAAAACGGGAATGACAGTAGCACCAACAAGTCCACAATCACCGCTGCTGGCTATTATGTAGCACTTTATAAGTTACTGCCGTGGCCTTAATTACACATTAATCTTTATTGAAAAACCACAAAGGCGCGCGTGTTAAACACTCATACTTGTCACTGATGAGACACGCCGGCGTGATGGTCTTCGAAATAATCCGCTTTCCGACTCCCGGAGGATCAAGCCGCAGAGCCAAGATCGCGCGCTGGCTGCAGATGAAGATAACTGTGTGTCACTGCGTTAATGGAAACCTGCACGGAGCTATCTGATGTGCCGCATCTTGGAGGGCGGGGAAGGGGGGGGGGAGAGATGAGTGGGATGACTGGCGGAGGAGGAGAGAGGGAAGCGGCTAAGGCACGTAGCCGCAGTGAAAAGGAGATCGTCTTGATGCTTCCTCTTCCACATTGTTCTGCTGTCATCAACGGGCGCTTGACAATGTTATCTCCTCCCTTCTGTTTTCTTCTTTCCTGCTCTTCTCGGTCATCCCTCGGTTCCCTTTAATTTTTATTTATTTAACCATCAACCCATCTCTCAGGTGCGAGGGAACAAAAGAAAACCAATCCAGGTCCCTTGTAATTAATCTCTTTTGGTTGAGCGGAGAGGCAACATAATACCTGTGTAAGAAAGTTGCCACTTTTGAGGATTTGGATTTGTATGGCTTAGGCACACAGATAAGAGGCAAATTATATTTTCATCAGGGATAATAGAAAGCAGCGCAATACACAAAGGCCGGGGAGCAGCGGGGTGCGAGTGGGACGGGGTACACATCGAGCTGCTGTCGGTCCAGCGTAATGCAGCTTAGCATTTGATGGGCGCAATCAGGAGCCGTGATTTCTATAGGAGGGATTAATCCATTTACTCTCGACTGGGGACAGGGCAGAGATATCGTCTCCTTTCTTCACCCGTATTGATCTGTCACGTCTCTCCGCAGAGTCTGCAAAGAGACGACCTTCAGTTTCCCCGCCCACACACACACACACGCATGTCAACAGAGTTGAGCTGTGACTTTATTTGATAATGAGACCATCACCTTGTTGGGTTGATCTTTATTTCCCACGGCGTGCCAACGCTGGCACTTTCTACCTACATTATTATAGCTATGGACTCGCTCTTCTCCGCTACGCTATCCAGTGTTTTTGCGGTGTGAATAGTTGATAAAAAAAAAAAAAATAATAATAGTGTACGTTGGCTCCGATGCTTTCTCTGTCTGTTGTAACCACTCTATAGTCACACTCATAGCACATATCTGTCACCAGTGTTTGTGCCGATCAACACCGCATAAGGACTCTGTGGCTCTGACATTCAGAGCTCAGGAGCTGGGTTTCCATTGAAATGCAGCAGATATTGCTCCAGTTAGAGCAGTTGTATCGGTTGCAATAATTGGACGTCGACCACCTTGATTACCGATAACCTGTATTGAATTCACCTATTGATTGATCCTTAATGTGAATACGATTGTGACGCTTCAGATGGATAGAATCCTGCGTGAGCCGCTAAATAGTGTTTTCCGTCATTCTCACGCAGGGTGGAAACGGTACAGTGGCAGCTGGAGAGCCCCCGCAGCCACAAGGCACCAGGTCGGCGACCCCGCTCGGCCAGCCCGCGCAGAGGAAGGTCACGATGGCGGCGGGGCAGCAGCAGCAGCAGCAACAAGGACCAGCCGGTACCCCGCAGGCAGGCCGAGGGATTGGGGGTAACCCGCAGCAAAACAGGGTATGACACCGGCAACCATTTCCCCCGAAAACATGTACACGTGCACGCAGTGTATTAATAGAGCAGCCTGTCGGATAACGCCGGCACTGAAAATAAAAGAAGCCGAAACGTGTCATGTGACGTTGCCTCAGGCCGGCGTGCGATGCACCCCGGGTATTCAGTCGACAGAGCAATCGAGCAGTAGGGGTAATAAGACAGGACAGTGTGCCAGGTGCAGGCGTATTGACGAGCTGAGAGCAGTGTAACACGGGGGGGGGGGCGTGGGGGGGCTACACGAGGTCCCCTGGCCTCTCCGCACGCCTGTCACCACCAGGCGGCTGTCACAGTTACCGTACACACTGACAGGCCAAGGCAGGCACCATATCGCTGGCATGGCTCCCCCTCCCTCTGCGGCTCCCCCACCCCCAACACACACACACACACACATTTCCCCTCTACCTCCTCTTATCTCTTTTTGAAGGCCGCCGTGCCCCTCCTCCCCCTTCTCCTCCTCTTCCTCTTGCAGCTGAAGAAACATACCTCTCACTCTGGAGCTGGAATGAAGACGTGCCGCGCCACATGCATCGCGCTCTGACGTTGACGCTCTATGTAGAAATATGATAAGTCAATCATGCGAAGGCTCGGCGCGTCTTGAGAGGCGCGCAAAGGAAAGCGCATGGCGGTTTTTAAATGTGCCTTTTGTGCTGCGAGACGTAGCTCCTCTTCACACGCTTCCGTGTGAGATTAAAACATCAACGTTGCCCGTGAAGGCAGGCAGAGGTTCAGTGTGTGTTTTCCACCCGCCGTCTTTTCTCTCGAACCCGTACCTAGTAGTTTTTTTTTCTTTGAACTACACCTGGGAGATCTTATCCTCAGCTACCCGTGTGCGCAGGTTGTGGTGCCGGGCCGGGGCCGAGGGAGGGGGGCTGTTCCGATTGGTCGAGGCCGCCCGATGGCCACCAGACAGCGCCAAAGAGGAGCGGTGAGCGAGCGCTGCACCGTGTCCATCGAGGGCCTCTCGTCATCCACAACTGACCTCCAACTGCAGAACCTTCTCCGGTCCATCGGCCCCATAGAGGTGGGCGACATTGTTGCACTTTCTTCCGACTTGATGTGCCTGTAAAGCATCATTTACTAGTTATTCCCTCACCAGAGGGGCAGTAATGACGTCTTGCTAGCGTGATCCCATAGCGCCCTCTGGCGGAGGGATTCGTCTCACTGCGCCGCCCCCACTCCCTCGTGCGGATGAGGGGAGCATCTCGTACTCGCAACAGACCAGAGACATTTTGACTCGTATGTGTAAATGAGTGATGTCTGAATCCCATTTAGCAGCTTTTGATTTCAGCATCCTGATTGTTCGCTGTCACACAGCCAGCGTCGTTGATCCTAGTAGAACCTGTGTGCTCTTCCCACTAACACAAGTCTGCATGCTGTGAATGAGGCTTGTTTGGGACTAACCCGTTCTGTCCATTGCAGATGTTCAAAATGATGCCGCAGCAGAGGAAAGCAGTCGCCACGTTTTCCAGTCCCCAGCATGCAGAAAGTTTTCAAATGAGCTTCCATAGGTAATCAATATACTTCCCTCTTTTATATCACTGATATCCATAAAAGAATTCAATCATCACCTTCTGTCATTGCTAAGCTTTACATCCCACATAATTTCGCGGAAATTAGCTGCTATGCAACTCAAGTTTTAAGTCCGTTCCCCCTCGAGTCAGTGACTCAAACACCTTTTATCACGATTGCTACACAGGCACATGATTGATTTGTCCCACATTGATGTGGCGCTGATTGACGGATGAGGAGCGCGTTAGAGCCGAGGAGCCCTGTCACAACGGAGTCGCCTTCTCCCAACGCGGGAGCCTCGGGCCCAGGCAACGGAGTGCTCCTTCGGCCCCCCTCTGCCGGGGGGGTGGGGAGGTCACTCACACGGTCGACGTGTCTCCTCAGAAGCGTCACTCAGCTCGACCTGGAACAGTGAACATTAAGGGCGCGGCCGTGAGCGTCCCCTTGTCTGACTTTGGGTACCAATTGTCGGCACCGGAGAGACACTGGACACTCAATCCTACTTTTTAGTGTGTGTGTGTGTGTGTTTGTGAAGAATGCTGTGTGCCTCTTCCACGGAAAACACCAAGTAGAAGCTATCGTGGGATAATGGTTGCTCCCCTCCTCGGTCGGATTCGTCATTAATAACAAAAGCAAACGCTGGGACTCGCTACTGCTGACGTGACCACAGCCCAGTGGTTTCTAAATCATTCAGCCTGTGTGGAGCGAGGCGGCCCGTCACGGTGGAGGCTTGTCTTCCCCTGCTGTAGATGGCGCTATTTCATCACTAGTGCTGCTTCCTCGTTAGACATGGAGCCCCCCCCCCCCCCTGCTGTCAGGTAGAGATCTTTGGGTGAATGGCACCATCTAGTGGAGAACATGCGTACAGGCGCAGAGGATGTTTGTCACATAAGTGGTGACGGGGACCAAATTGGAGTTGGACGATAAATGTTTTATTTTAATCTTATGAATGTGACTCTTGTGCGTCGTTCTTGGCGCTCTTCGGTTTCCGGGCCGCTTCTGGTGCCGGTTCTGCTCATTTGTCGGAGTTCTGAAGGTTTAGGTCTTTTAACTGTTACCTGGAGCCAATGTGGAATAAACGCCTGTGTATTTTAGTTCTATCGATTATGGATTAGTTCGATTTAGGATTGAAATCTTTGCCGTTGGTGCTGCGAGGGATCGAGTCTGTGTGGACAATTTTGTTTGAGTTTTTTTTAGAATTCCGAATTAAATGTTTTTTCTTTTCAGTCGTCAGAGAGAATTGCTGACGGTTCCCCTAAGGATACATTTCTCCAAGCGCTTCCTCCGTTCCGTTCTAATTGATCCAAATCCGCGTGACTATCCGTTGGAGATTGGCGGCGGCGCCGCTGAGGGGCGGCCGCCCTTTGAGCACCGAGCCGACAAACGCAGACGTCTGCCGGTCGAGCAGAGGAGTAATGCACCGTGTTACTTTCCCCCACAGAAAGAAACCTCTCCGAACATGAACATTTTCTAAATGTTTTGTTCTATTCTCCGCCTCGGTTTGATCCCGTGAGACGTCCTCATCAGACTGAAGTGCGGCTCGTTTCCTTTTCCCACGATTTATTTATTCCTTCTTCATCGCAAATCTTTAATTTTTTTTTTTTTGTGTTTCTAAAACCGGTTTAAAGCCTGTTAAACAAACTAGTTCCTTTTAATCACTAAGTAGTTGTGACCTGCGTTTACTGGGAGTTTGAGAGCAGAGGTGCAGGACCGTGACGTCAGGACAGCGAGGGGGCAACCATTATCTATCCAGAGCTCGTGTACATAAGCAGAACTTTCTCTCAGCATTCATCCTGTTGGGCTTTTTTTTTGTTTTGTTTTAAAGTTGCTCTTTACTTGCGTTGTATCACATTTTTACATGTAAGGATATACTGATGTGTCCAGACATTAATCATTTTACCAAGTGTTTTTTTTGTTTTTGAATTTGGATCCAAATTGAAGGATGACTGGACAACATTTCTGTTTATAAGACATTTGACAAAAAGTGTAAGGGAAAATAAAAACATGGCCAATATACCGTGAACATGCAGGTATGTGAAGCCGGTTCAACCTTAGCCCAAAGATGTGTGGTTGTGTGTGTGACGTCCATCTTTCTGCTGCCTTTTTATTCATTTCTACATTACGTATTAAGTATTTAACTTGATACTGTGAAAACTCCTGCAAGGAGCACAACCCCTTTATATAGATTTATGGGGAAGGTCACTGAATTTTGGCCGTATGACTATTTTCTTCAAAGCCAGAAACGTGAGAATTTCTGTCGTGCCGTTTTAACTGTGGTGTCATACGGATGTCCGGCTCCGACAGCCCCGACCTGCCAGAGGAAAAGCGAAAGCAGCCACACGTTGCACAAGTGCTTCAACGGATTTGACTAATGCAAAGATACATTTGTAACACCGACGTTCATACTTCTAATCTCTGTTAGTAGTTGAACTCCCGGCTGTGCATCTGAATGACATCACAGATTAACTTCTCTGGTTTTAAGTCTTCGGTAAGAGTTGTTCATGTTCACCAGTACCTGACCTGGGTGGGAGGGGGGGGGGGGGGGGGCACTGACCACGACTGCATGTGTGAATCCAATTCATACGTTTCATGGTGTTCTCCTTGAATTAGCCGCCACTTGAAAGTGGCGAAGGTTTTCAAAGGAAGCAGCACGTTGGTGATGGTCACCAGGTTCTCCGAATGCTTGAAGCGTCGCAATTGTTGGGTCAATTGTGCTGCCTGTTTTTAAAGTGTCTAAACTCCTAAAATTCCTTCTTTCTTAGTGTAAAACATGAGGTTTTCTTTTTTTGTACGTGGTGCATTTGTTCTGAACTGTCTTCTGTATGTTTTTATTCCTTTTTGTTTTGAGTTGAAATGATGTAGAGCTCTTTGTTCCCTCGCTGTGTATTTGATGTCTTTTGAGTGTTGTACTGAATCCTGTGGATTTGAAAGCGTACCGGCAGTGCCGGTGTTGATTTATCTTACTACAAGACACCTGTTCTTGTAACGACAGAGCAGATTCATATTGAATCTTTTGTACCTTAATTTTAAGAATTTTCGTACGTACATGTACCTTGAATTTTTAGACATGATCTATTTCTCATCGTAATTTCCTGGTAGGAAAATGCTGCTTTTATTACGTCCTGCATTACAGCAGGCTAATTAACCGTTAATCCAATCACATCCCATCATGTGGTTGCAGTAGACTATTTAATATTGATTAATAGAGACACTTGACACATCTGTGGGTCTTTCTTACGGCTGCTGGAGCTCTGTTTCAAACACGCAACACGAGCCTTTTGGGTTTTTCACATAACTTATACTTTCTCTTTCAGGTCCGTGTGGAAATGCAGAGTTGCGCTAAAATAATCACTTTTATTCTTTTCTCAGATCAAATCCCCGGCAACAACGTAGTGTCACATGTCCTCATCGGTGCCGTTGCTCGGTGAGAGGACCATGCCGAAGGTTTCGCACGTTTTAACTCAATTTGGTTGTGATTTTATTACCGAGCCCGTTTATGAAATGGAACTACGACTCTTCCCAACTCAAATGCCGCTGTTGGTCTGTTGTTTAATCCGTGCATGATGAGACTGTCGCTATGGCAAAGCCCCGACTTCTGGAATTTGAGTTGGGTGATTTGCAGTTTCTGGCTTCAGGCTTCTGTGTTGGTTTTGAATCCAAAGCGTTCCCAGCCGGCGGCATGGTCCGAGCATTTCACGTGTGGCCTGTTGTTTTTTTGGGGGGGGGGGTTCAGTCCCGCAACACGTCACCGGAGGCGTGACCTCCCGCTCTCGTATTAACGCCTTCATTTTTCCCCAGAGCTGAGAGGCGCCGCCCAACGACGCCGCCGTGTCACCGTAACTCGCTCACCTAACGCTTCAGGTTCCTCCACAGGCGGGCGAGGCGTTTCGGCCTCGGACCGAAGGTTCTTTTGCTAAATTCTTTTTGTTTAACTCGAGCTTTAATACATGTTGCCACATTTCCTTTTCCATTACCGCTTTTCTCCCTCCACCGCCATCGCGCTCCTACCGGCCGCTGCTCTTTTCCTTGATGCGGCCGCGTTGTTGAGTGAACTTGGGACTCCTGTGTGGAGCCGGGTGGCCCTGCCTGGATTACCTGTGTGCGTGCGTGCGTGCGTGTGTGTGTGCGCGCGCGCGTGTGTTGGCCCCGGTGGAGGGAGCGTTCACACAGCACACGCGTGACTCTCTGAAGCCGCTTTACGGCTTTCACGCCACCAAAAGCTCCTCCCGACTTCTTCACATGGCTTGTTTGGTTGGATTTTTAAAAAAAAGAAGGAAGAAAAAAAAAAAAAAGACACTGCAGTGGTTTCATCATATCAACAAAAAATAATCACTGACAATCCAACGTTCACCGGACTTGTTGACAATCCACCCGGTCATGTGTGTTCACAATCTGCTGTATAACATGAAGGAATGTTTTGTGTTGGAAAACTCTGAAGTCTTCTCACTCATGTTCTGAAACTGTGAAGCATGTGATGTAAAAAAAAAAAAAAAGATCTGACGTTTGAGAAAGGGAATCATTCTCTGAGAGACGGAATGTGTTGAAGTTGATACGAGAAAACTGAAGAAAAATAAATATTTGGATACATGCAGCAATGGTATTGTCTTTATTGTGAGATGGAGGCGTATGTTAAATGATCTAAATTCTTTTTTCACAACCAAAAACCCGTCGTTTTTTTTGGTTGGACCAGTAAAATGTACCCCCCCCCCCCCCCCCTCCAACCCCAGGCTGAACCACCTACGCCCTGAGGAGGGTCGATGTTGCCTGGGAAGGAACGGCGCGCTGCCATTTGCAGAACTCTCTTAGAAACGGCCCAGTTTTGTTTTTCCCAGAATGCCGGGTCCGCTCATGTTTGCGAATGTCAACGTTTGTAAAAGCCGCTGTTGAGCCCGAGCAGACTGAGGGCCCCCGGAGGGATTAGAGGAGGCTCTGTTTACCTGCCTTGAGGAATGCTGCCCTGCGCGGACGCTTTTGTATCTGCCAGGGACCCAAGGTCACAGCGCCGGCAGAGATGGGCCCGCTTTGTCCCTCCTCGAAGATTCCACCTCACAGTATCAACAACCCAACACAATGTGGGAGAAGGAAGTGGAATTCCTGCTCATGTTGCTGCAGTGCTCAGAAACTCCGGTTCAGGGATCCTTTTTCACCTTCTGCCAAGTCTGCCTGGGGAGGATGATCATTTTGAGGGATTTTGGTTGAATAAAATGTAATATTGTGCATTTTAATATATTTTAGTAGTTATTTTTCGCCAGATACACAAGTTTAAATCCTAAATCCTTGAAAGGCACTTCACACGGATACATATACTTATGGCTCTCAGCTCCTTTTCTGACCTGATTTCACTCAAATCGCATATAGAAGCAGCGTGTCCTGCGCGCTGTCTCGCCGCGGAGCCGTCGGCAGTACTCGCGTTCCGCCGCGCGGGGTCGCACTTGTTCAACCCAAAAACCGCCGTTAGCGGGAGAAGCTGATCCCGTCATCCACGTTAGAAAGACCCTTTCAGTACCACGGAACCCATCAAGAGGTCACCAAGAATGACTAATAACCTCGCCGTTAAGTGCTACGCGCACATTGTGCGTCCCTGTGAAAATACCGGAGGATTAAAGCGATTAAAGGCCGCCGAATGTTTTTGCCAAGCTGTGATTTTGACAAAAAGCCCCGCGTTTCTTTTCCTCGCGGCCGACTGACCGTCTCTGATGGAGCAATCTGACCTCAGACCAGCAGACCCCGAGCGGCACCTTTTTAGGAGCCAACAAACACGCTTGTGTTTAATTTTGTCTGCAAGTTAGGAGTTATTTGCGGAGGGCAAACCTCGTTAAATCTGACATGGGCTCTCAACATTTCGCAAGCATGCAAAAGGTAGTTCAAAGCGCAGCGATTTCTCCTTTTTGTAAAAGAAAAGGAAAACGACTAGCAAAGTGGGTAAAATAGTGTGTCGTCTTTTGTGGTTAAGCTCATTCAATTACGGCGTAAAACTATTTAATGTTAATTATAACCGCCCAGAAATAATAACAGCTGGATCAGACTGAAAATCGCAAAACAATTAGTTTATCAGTCAGCTGTCTCAACTAATTAAATACCTTCATTTGTTCATAGTGCTGGTAGACAAAGACATGTAACAACTGCAAGTTTGAAGATTTTCTTTATCTCATTTTGTAATAAACATATAAATAATAAACTCTAGACATTTGTTGACGCATCGCCCTGTTATGAAAGTTAACTGTATGGTCTGGCTATATAGACTATCCAAACTTTGCATCTGCCGCAGGTCATTTCTATAAAACTATTTCCCTATTACAAAATATGAAAAGAAAAATACATTTTAGTACATTTACATGAGTTACTTATTAATTTATTTAACGAAACTGTTTCAGTACTACTTTAACATTTACTGAATTGTCAGAATCTGCATTTAATATTTTTTTCTCAGAGGAAAACAGAAAAATAGAAACACAACAGAAAAGAAAAGCAGAGTATGCAGACATGAGGCAGAATATCTGTCCCTCTCCGACAACTTAAACGAACATTTTCCAAAATAATAAAATTCTTAATAAACCAAGCAGTACAAGATTTTTCAATACTTTCCCAACTACTGTATTTAAATTAAAATATATTCTCATATCTTACACTATTTCAAATAACGAAATGTGATTCGGTAGCGATCTGTCAAAATCTAATTTACAATTCTGTGTATAAAAATATAATTTATGGAACCCCGCGAAGTTTGTTCCCCCCAAAATATAACAGTCAGTTGCACATACACGCACATATGAACATTACAACCTGTCAACTTTAGCTCCTTTCTACACGGTCTTCTTCTTTCTCTTGGCGATATTTTTTCTTTTCCATTTTTTCTTTTTCATTTTTTTTTTGTTTTTGCATTTGAGATATACAAAAATAGATTATGCACATTTTGCTGTTCACACCGTTTCAGAATCCATTTGTGTCACAGCAGCGAGTTCACATGAGAATAAATTATTCAATGAGAAACTTTTTAAGGCTCCATTCATTCTTTGAAAGGGGACACATGGAAAAAGTCACTGAAATAAATATC